CCTAGTTGGTTGCGCAAAATTTTTTCGATAGTTCAATAGTTGACTATACTATTGGTAAAAAATCGAATCCATTTCATCCAAAAAAAGAACAACGAACGAAGACGAAGATGAATTTTTGGTTAAAAAACCAAAATTGGTGAGTTCAGAATATATTTCACATGTGAAAACTTTATTTGAATTTAATAAGTTTAAGATAATTATATAAATCCATTATAATATTTTAAAGGACCTTGCCACATCAGCTGTCGCTTATACCGGATCAATTTGCAAAGCTGAGAACGAGTCTCAAAATGCAATGAATGAATCTCATGTTGAATTATCAGAACATGAGGCGTGCTCTCCAACTGACACGTCAAAAGATCGGCTGGGACAAGGTTTGGAATAATTTGTTATTTTTTTTTTTAGATGCCGAATTCTCTCAGTAATGATTTATGCTTTTTCTCGTGCAGACTCGTCAGTTGGAGATCTTTAAATACAAAAAGAAAGTTGAATCGCATACCCTTCTCTCACTCTTTAGACTTGATTTCTTCTGTTTCTTTTCGTCTTTTGATTTAGTTTTTGATTTGGGTATGCCTTAATTTACCAATGAAATATGTAGAATCATAAGTATAATTAATAATAAAAAATGTATGATTCATATATATTGGGGATGATATTGAAAATTTGAAGTCTTTATTTGGCAAAGTCATGTGCTAGCTCTGCTATGAGCCCTGGAACCCGGAAAATTTTGAATTTTTTTATATAAATTTCAAATTATAAATACAATTCGAATTTTTTTACAGATCCCCGCTTCTATTAACGACTCTCCTAAAGTTCATATTAAATAAAATGGCGATTGATTGGTCCAGATTAGAGGTTGGAACCGGTTTTAATAATTCGGGTTTATCACGTGAATTTTGTGATATTTTAGGATTTATTAAATTTTAATTGGATTAAATTCTAAAATATCACAAAATTCAAGTGATAAACCCGAATTATTAAAACCGGTTCCAACCTCTAGTCCAGATTTTAGGATTATCTAGCATAATCTGCGACATTCTTTTTAACTGACCTCCGCAACGTCAACTTGTCTTTCTGAATCAGATTCTTCGTTTTTGAGAAGTTTCTTGCCATCAGAGTCTGTATTCGACTTTTTACGAGGTTGCTTGCGTATTAACGTCGGATGGTTTTCAAGGTTTGAATATGCTAATTTTTTATAGAATTTCCGCAGAGAAACTTAGAAGATTGCTGTTATATAACATATAGAAGTGCTTACTCAGAATTGATTGACAATCCCAAGCCTGTTTTTTGTAAATGGTCACTTTCAACCTCTACATACTCTTTATTCGTCTTAGTAGCTTTGTTAACCATTTCTTCCTATAACTCAGATCCTTGTTCATTAATATGGACTTGCCCCAATTCTTGACGAATTGCTTCCAATTGATTTTGTACGGTATCTTCTGATTTTGGCACAATTTTCCGGCCGTTAATTTCATATTTATCAAGGAATTCATAAAGAATTTGAGAAAAATCTTGCCGAACTTGAGAAGATGACGTTAATTCGATATCAGATTATCTTCCATATATTCCTAATTCGAAAGATGCTAGAAACCATTAAGACCAAATTTTTCGGTTATGAATATAAATATATTATCGGCAGCCTTTTCAAATTGATCATCCAATAATCGAAGTTTATCGTTTCTATGCATAATAGAACTTGACATAGAATAGTTGCTGGTAATTCTTGATCTCTATCGTCATCATATTCTTCATTAATATCCTTTTCTAATTTGTTCTGATTTTCCGAAACTTTTGAAATTTTAGCTGAAAAAAATTCATCATCTAAATTTTTTCTATGTAAGCATAATCCTCAAGAGCTTCTAAAGTTTCTCTAAGCCTTGGATTCATATCTGGTTGAAATCCTTGTATTAAAGCAGACGCATGCTTAGCATCTTAAGAAACTTAAGCTATGAATATTTAGTATATATAATACCATTAGGGATATAAGATTGATTGAAGAATCCAATTGGCATGTCTTCTTTGATGGTAATATTCATCTAGTAACACAATAGTAATTATTCTATCTTTTCTCGAGGTTCCTGATTCCTTTTTCAAGGATAATAAGCAAAAATATACATAATTTCCATAATATCGCATTTTGGTCAAAACAATTCAAAGATTCAGTAGGAACAATTGGTTTTAAAAGAAAGAAAAATTATCATCATGACTCAAAATTTTCACCATTTCCAGTGAAACACATGTACAACATGTAATGATTAATAAAGGCTACCTGACAATTCGATTCTCTTTGATGCGGCTTCAACGAATATAGCATCTTCATCCCCTTCTCCAATCGATTTTAAAGTCATAATCCGTGTCATCGAATATATACCGTATAATGCTGCAATATATTATGCGTACTTTCCAAATCGATCCGTTAGTCCAATGGAGATTTAGCCTGTGTTCTGTGAATTTATCAAGTCCATGTCCATGTTTTATTTAAGAGTGAAAAGACAAACTTGTGGATGAGCGTAAAGCTCACAATCATTTTTTATTGGCTTCTAGATAATAGTTTTGACAATAAATTTCATATAAGTTTTATCTAGGATTTCGCATGCAAATCAAGTAACTTACCCGTAAATTCGGTGGGATATTTCAATTTGCATTTTTGATGAGGCAACTGAATCATTAATTATTGGATCTCTCCACAACCAGTGACTAGTTGATAGTGTTTGGTTTTTTTACGATCGATGAATGGCTTTTTACCCATTTTTTTTTTTTTTTGAATGAAATGGATTCGATTTTTTACCAATAGTATAGTCAACTATTGAACTATCGAAAAAATTTTGCGCAACCAACTAGG